TGCTAACTTGAATTCTGAGAGGAAGAACTTGCAGAACAGATTGATGTTAGGTACAGAGATATTTAAGGCAATAAGCCACAATTATAAAGATATGAGAGGAAAACCATAAAGCAGCTCTGTACAAAGGCTCTATAATTTAAATAGCTGAAGTGCTTTTACTCCGTGTGCTGACAGTTGATGATAGCTGGCAAGTAATGGCAGCGGTAGCATGAGGTGTCATTCAGCAAAGAATGATGTGGGAAAACCAGAAATATTTTAAGTATAGTGTAGAATCCCCGTATTTTGGTAGCAGAAGACTGTATTTTATTTTCTTCAGCCGATAGGTATTGACATTTTTAATTCCTCCTGAGGCAAAGAAATCTTATTCTGCTAAATAGTTAAGTAAGCTAGATGAAAATAGACCCTAAACTTTGTTTAGAGTCCAAAGGCACCATAGCAATTGTTTGTAATATACTGTATTTCATACAAATATTGACAGAAAACGTATACTAAATCATTAAATACAGGTGCCCTTCTTGTTATAAAGGGGGTTGAGTAATTGTTTTTTTTTAAATATTGGAGCTTTATCTGTACCAGGTTCTCAAGTTGTCTGTGTGTAGCAAGGTATAAAGCACTGGGGGTTTATTAGATGTAAGCTGCAGGTATGAGGATTAGTTCTGTTTTGCATTACACATTATTTCGTATGTTCTAAACTGGCTTAAATAATTAATAGCTGGGAGTGGACACAGAGGATCTTTTTACTTGGGCTTGATTAGATACACTCAGCTGCTGAAGCCCTTAGGGATATAAACTTGAAACGTTTCCTTTGGGAGAAACTGTTCTGCAGGCGCGGGTGTTGGGAGGTGACAGCCAGCATGCCATGCCTTGCTTCGTGAGTTTAGCCGGTTCTCCTCAGGCTGCCATGCATTGTAACAACTGGTTTTGGCATTCGCTCTTACTTGTGTGTGGTGGCAGCTACACTTTACCCAATGCATGGTCTGTGATCACTTGTTATTTTATTACCTCCTTCGCTTACCTGCTGTTTTGGCAGAGAGCGAGGCTGGGAGCCCACCGTATGGTTTGCACAGCGGCTTCCCAGCAGGGAGCTCAGGCAGGGTATCCAGCCAACGCGGTTTGTGTGAAAGGAGTTATCTGGGGAAGAGGGTGGATTTTCACTATGATGGAAGGAGGCAGAGGAGGAGTGTTTGCTAACAACCCCTGATAGATCTGAAGTTCTTCACCAGCACTGATTCTGCCAAAATGCGTTTTAGCTGGTCTGTGAAGGGGGTATCTGCTCAGGCTGCAGAATTAAAATGCTGTGTGAGGTGTGATTTAACCCACCTGGAAAGGGATGTCACAGCTGGTTTTAGTTTGGGGGTTAGCTGTGTGCCGTTCCCCTCAAGCAGCTATAACATACACGCTGTGGCCTGTATACGCAGCACTTAGCAGATGGAGAGGTGTTCTGAGGGAAGGCAAGGAAACCAGAAGTGCTTTCAGCACTGTTGTCTCACCGGTACCTCCCACTGTTTTCCATATTGCTGAGGCTATGACACATAGGAATATCCAAGGCCCAAAATATCCTATAGTTCATACTGCTGTTGCCCCACAAAGGAGGTGCTTTGGGGGCTTTGCATACATTAGCTAATGTCCTGCTAGCATTTCGCCCTCAGTCAGTAAGAACACTGCTCCCCAGGGTGTGTGACTAGCAGAGGACCACGTGGTGCATGGGTCGGGGCACCGGACATTAGTTATTCCCAGTTTATTGGACTGCTTTTTTGAAAGGTCAAACACACAGGCATTACTGGGGATAAAAACCATCTCTTTGTGTTGCCCACAGCTAGAAACTAAGCGCTATGCAACTGGTACAGCTGTAAACTTCAGAAGTGTTATTCTTAGCATTTTTTTACAGAATGATTCAAATAGATATGTCCTTAGCAATAGAGCACAGGAATGTAAAATGTGTGTTGTGAGTGACACTGCAGGAATAAATATAAGCAAGAGAAATCATATAGCTCATCAGAAAAAACCCAGCACAGGATCCTTAATGTGCTTTGGTCAATATCTTTCCCTGTATCAATGTAAGCTCATTAAAAGAAGATATTGCAGACTAACTGAGCCATGCTGTATTAGTTCGTGCCAAAGCTTGACATTTTTAATACATTAATAATATGTCTGTAATGTAATGGAAAACTATTAATCAGAACTGGTTATATGCCAGAAATTTAAGCTATAATTGGCTGCTTCTTGTCAGGAATGTCTGTTGTACACTGCTATATCTGCCTAATGCTCAGATGTCTTGCACTCCTCTGCACTTTTTCCTTGTCAGTGCACTAAATTCGATCAATGTTATAGTCTATAATTCTGTGTAACGACCATCATTATGACTGGCTTCCTTTAATGAGAATTCGTTATATGGGAAGTATTTCAGTGCAGCGTGTTAAGGTAGTGGCTTGCTTCACATTATTTTAGCCCTGTCCAGTCCTGTTTATTAGTGGGTCTGAGTCTTAGCAGTTACAAAATGTTACAGGTAACTGAAGAGCTAGCAAGGAAAATATTGAAAGAAAACAAATCTGTTTTTTCCTGAATATACAGGCTTGTAGTCTAAAGATAACTAAACTCAGTAACTTCTTATTTGTACACAGAAACATCATATTCACCTACTGTTTATTCCAGCTATGACCACGCATTCTCCAATATAGAGTGTGTTTTGATTTATCACAAATTTAAAATAATTTGCCTCTTTTTTAGCAGAGTAGTTGTTTCCCTTTTGTATATTAATTATTCTAAGCTATGGGGTTTTGTTTCATTGATTGGGATTTTTTTTCCCCCCCTTTAAAATAGTAAAATACATTGGAAAGGACTAGAAGGGAAGAGTATGAGGTGTCTTTAGAATGACATGGAAAGTGTTCTCTGAATTACTGAATTCCAAGATAATAAGTAAACATTCCCACTGAAAACAAAAAGGAATGTAAGGTCACTACAAAACCAGTGGTACTACACAGTGTGCTTCTTAAAAAGATTTAATTTAGATATTTCTGCTTTTGTGCAGAAAATTCAGATTTGAACTTAAGTATGTGTGAATTAATTGAGAATTGTTATTGCATGGAAATTCAGATATTCTCTGCATATTCTGATAAAATATATGAGACTTGTATGGTAACACTTGATAAAATGAATATAATGGAAAATTGCATTTACGTCCATACGGCAATTATTGTAAATTACTTTGCTATGGAAACACAATTCAACCATCTGTTGGCATTTCATAGTGTCTGTATTTTAGCTCAGTTTAAGATGAAGCATAGTTTAAATATATGGGGAGGCTGTTTGTGAATAGCTAAGGAGCTCACCAGGTCACATACCACTTCCCGTGGTTTCGAGGTATAGAAGGATTCATAACACTGAGCATAATTAAAAACTGGGGACAAGCAAAGTGGGCTGCAGAGAGTGGTGACTTACAGTTGTTTCTTAACATCTGTCTGATGGGTTTGCTTAGATTTTATCATCCAGATAAAAAGAGTGCAGAGGTGCTGCAGCAGCTGTCTGGAATCCTCCTCCCACAGAGAGCACAGAACCCAGGCAGCCCATCCTCAGCTGGCATGGGCACATGCTGAGAGAAATGAAATGAGGTTCCTAGCCCTGGTTTCCCTTTTCTGTGTATAGGGTACTTATCCTGTGTTTGCAGTTTCCTGTAGTTTGTATTTTTACCTGTGTTTTTCAGCAAGTGTACATTTTAAGTAATAATAACGTCCTAGGATTTTTTACCTGTAATGATATGATTGAGGTGATACAAACCAGGGGAATTTCTAGTTGCTTTTCTGAAGAGAGTAAAGGGGATATATCTGCTGTGAAAGAAATACTAGAGTACACAGGTACCCCGAAAACCTCGGAAAATAAGATGCAGAGTGGGAAGCATCCTTATAAAAAGCTACAAATAAACTATTATCTTTATTAGTAGTTTGTCCCCAGTGTGATCAGTAAATCACAGTTCAAAGGGAAAAAAAAAGTGCAAAGCTCTTCCAATGCTAATGAGAAATTTCAAGGAAACAGAAGTGTGCTTACAGTATCTTTGTTACTCTTCCAAAGGCTCTTTTGGACCTCGCTGTGGTCCTCTTGCCAAGATACCATCTGTACCTGGTAGCCCTGATACCAATCTCTGTGTCACTTTAATAAAAGTGCTGCTACTGCCCCATGGCGCTGAGCTGCTTGCTCCCCTGACTGCCTGCCTGCATAATCTGGGCAATAGTCTGAGTTCAGTATTTTGCTCTCTGGTTTTGCTAGGGTGAAAATACAGTTTTGGAAGCAGAAACTAGTAACTCACCTGGAACATTATAAATCTGTCTTTGTTAGAGAATAGTTAAATCCGTCATGTCAAAGTACTTTTCACTGTGAATGGTTCTGGTAGTTTGTTCATTCTAGCACAGCACCTATGGTAAAGGTTATCCATATTATAGCAATTTGCTTTATATTGCATCAAACCTCCAAAATGTCAACATATCATATATTTTGTAATGCATTGATTCTTGGACAATAACTCTAATTCTTATTGTTTCTAAAAGGGTGCTGGTGCCAGAAAAAAAGAATGATTGATGGGAAACAGACACCAGCCTGCAGACACTCATCCTTTTGCTTCAGATACTGATTTATCAGTGCGTCTGGGCATCCCCTGCAAGCCCTGAACACGGAAGATCACTCAGGGTTATCGACAGCGTAGCTGAAGACCTGCAACTTCACAAATTATTATCTGCTATTGGACATCTTTTACAAGAAGCCCTGACAGATAAGTTATAAGACAAAGGACAATCACTGTGTTGCTGCGAAAGGTTATCATCGTGGTCTGGGTGGCTTCTACCAAAGCCTACAACTTAGCAAAGCAAACATCCGATCCTAATGCTTCATGTCTGAGTTGGAACCTATTTTATAAAATATATACATGTATATGTAAATATATGTATCATCTATAGACTGCACGTACACCAGTACTAAGCATCCTTACGAAGGTGACATAAAAGGATTTAGAAATGTATTTGTCAAGATTTCTGTCACTTCACGCCCTCTGGGTTACCGTATCCTCCGTGATGCAGCACTACCCTTCCGTGTGGGGACACTATGATGTGTGTAAGACTCAGATTTACACAGAAGAAGGAAAAGTATGGGATTACATGGCCTGCCAGCCGGAAGCCAGAGACATGATCAAATACGTAAAAGTGACTCTGGATCCCCCAGACATAACATGTGGAGATCCTCCTGAGACTTTCTGTGCAATGGTAAGGCATGCTTTTAATTTTGCTTAATTAGTGGGTACATATTTGTGATAGATGGCTTCAAAACGGAAGCCCTAGAGTGCACATGTAATTACCCAAGAAAATCTGCATCGTGTTCCGAATGTGAAAGGTTCTGCTGAACAAAATGCTGAGCAGTACATTAAGCTGGGCAATGAGATGTTCTACTTATGGGGACCTAACTTGACCTCATCTGAATTCGGTGTCTCTCTGGGCCAACTTTTAACGACTTAAAAGAAAGCAGCATAAAGCTCCTAGTGCGCTAACCTGTAACTGGGTTGTGTTTGCCTAGACCACAAAAGAATTCAGTGAATTGGTTCCAGTACACTCACCTGAAAGCATCATAGTGTGATGTAATATTCAGCATCATTTCCCAACATGAGACCACTGTTAGAAACTCAAACTACAGAAGCTTAAAAAGTGGTGGTGGGAGATGGGCTGGTGGAGCTTTTCCAGCAAGCCTATGCAGCTGCAGGCAGCACTGCTGGAGCATTGCTACTGCGCACAGCAGGTGTGTACCAGCAGATCCATACCTGCGTGTATGGACACTGCACCAAGAAACACCTTCAGGCAGGGGACCGCTCTGCCAGCTACTCACAGCTTTCTTCTTTAACTGAAACTGTAAGCATCCAAGCCAACTATAAGAGACCAAAGCAAAGCTACTTAATTTACATGCTCCTAAAATTACAGACTTGTTTTGGAAATGTTTGGCTTGGTAAATAATTGTACAGGTATGAGAAACCAGACAGACAGTGTATATATTGACCTTTTAAAGCTGTGCTGCTCCCAAGTGTTTCATAGAGCGTGCTGTAAGAAGTCATTTAAGTTAAAGAAAATCTTCAACATGTACGTAACTTGTTTCTTCTCACAAACACAGAGAAATTATTTTCTTTGCCATGGAATGTTTCTGCTAAATACTGAGTGGAAAATACAGTATTCCTTGACTAGAAAATTTGTGTTTGAGATGCAAAACATATGTACTTAGAGCTATTAATAAAGTGCTGGAAGCTTACATCACATTACCTACGTACTTCAGATTTGAAAACCCAGTGAGTTCTGGTAAGTGAGGTTATCATAACTGAGAAAAGTCTAAAGACATTAATTTGCCTGTGTACGAATCATCATTGCTGTGTGACAGCATCCCCACAGGAAAGAAATTGTCTTTTAAATGCCTTATGGCATAATTTTTAACCACTACTCATCTGTAAGGAGTTCAGGTCCAACCACACGTACATTTAGGGCATTATGTGCATGCATGCAGCTGCTTCCCACGTACATTAATAGCTACGTGATAAATTGCGGAGCTACGTGAATAAATTACATTCACAGTGAACCTTTGACTGCACCTCTTGCTCTCTGCCCAGTAATCCGTCTCTGCTGATATGGTTTTGACACTGTAAACCTCAGAGCGGCTTCAAGCAGCCACCGTTTAAAAACAAATAAAAGCAACGTACCCCACGTAATATGGTCTTTTTTCTTTATCTTGAGATGTATTTTCTCCCTCAGAATAGTAATAGCTGTGGTTTAGCCCTCAACCAGTGATGTTTAGTCACTCACCATGTACTCAATAAGAAAAGTTGTTCTCTTAGTGCAAAAGAAACTGGCCAGCAAAATTTGTTTCTTCCTTTTAGTGCAGATAAACACTGCAGCAGTTCTTTAGTAATTTTTTAAGTTTCTGAAGGCCTTGGTTGTCAGTCTAGTCTCTAGTTAGAATAATGATTTTTAACAAAAAATGTTAAAAAAAAAAATAAAATGATGTCAGAACTCCCCTGAAAATGTTTGACCTAGCAAGGTCCCTGATGCTGTGATGGGGAATGGAAATTTGCATAGGAATGACCTGAGGTTACAGCCGTACCTCACTTGCTGCTTAAGCCCTTGAGATGCAGAAGGCCACCAGAATACTGACACAAGAATTAGAGAAAGAGAAAGAACTGGGGAGAAGGACAATGCACATGAGGATCTGTATTTAGTGATGTGAACATAGAGTGATTAACTCCTACATGATATGCCGTTGTACTTGCTTTCAGTATAGACGTATATTGTGCATAAACACTATATTCAGATATGCATTGGTAATGGCTTGACTTACTTGAAACGTTAGGAGAGTGACAGAAATGCTTGATATTCCTGAAGTACTGCACAGCGGCAGAGCACTCGCATTCCTAAAAATGCTTTATGTCTATCTCTACTATAGCTACATGCAGAAATTACATTTTTCCTTCCAAATGAGGTTTTACATATTTTTAGGGCAGACCCTTTGGCATTTCCTCGTGAGATCTTTTATTTTTGTGTTCATTTTTAACTTTAGAAATTTAGTTAAGAAGATAGCAACGACATACTTGGAGAAGGTGGGCAG